GGAGCATGAAGGACCTTGGCCCCCATGTGACTGAGCTTTTGCTGAAATTACTGCATATCTAAATGTTAACAACCATCTAGTGATCCAGCAGAGCTGACAGTACAGTTGGTCTGGGACTTCTGATTCATAATGAGCTTGCGTAAGAATTCACTTTTATGGCGACTCAGTTCTTACTTTGATAGCATGAATTATAGTGCATCTGCCAGAGGAACACTTTGTCAGCAGTCAGGATTATTTCAAGATTATCTCAGACATTGAGAAGCAAAATGACAGCTTTCTTGAAAATGCAGAAAATCTACCTCTATCACAGTTCATAGTTACAATGGGGTGAAGTTATTTCCCATTCTTCCTCCCACTCATGCACAACCTTTGCCCCGTCCCACTTAGAAAAGAAGAAGTACAGACGGTGGAAATCTGCAAATCAGCATCTGAAAGCAAAAGATGAGCCGATGTGATTGAGTGTGCTTCTTCATCGGAATGTAAGGGAGTGTCGATGGTCAAATCCATTCGAAGATGTAAATTGTGTCAACAGATGTAAATCGAGAGTGGTTGGGTTGAAAGGTTGATGGCAAGGAAATTGGATCTAGATACTCGAGCTAGTCAAGTTGGAGAAGGAATTTGTACACAGGTATGCACACTCTGTATTTGCCATTAAAGGCAGAAAAGTTAGGACACCTATCACCATTGTCATTCCATTTCATTTTCTCCATTATCATGACAATCAAGCTAATGATTTCTGTCCAATAATTGCTTTATGTGGATGAACAATATGAGGTTACTGTGATAAACTGGCTTACAATAAAAGGCAATGTAAATAGATTTACATTTGCAGTTAAAAATAAAAGAGTTCAAAGACTGACTGCCTGACTGACTCCACATGTTACATTATGTGATTGATAAATAAGCCTCAAATTTACTTATACTTGTGTAGGATCTGTAAAACTGGGCTTGAGTCTTAAGTCAAGTTTTGCATGTGTCCAGTGGACTATGATTAATGAGTCAAAAGCCCCAACTCCTGCCCAAAGCTGCAGAACGTCTTAGACTTGAAATTCAACCTAGTCTTAGCCTTTAAGACCAAATGTAAGATGATGGCAAATTCTTAAATTCAGTTTAATTGAAAAGCTGATTTACTGCTTTTCAATTAAAAGAACAAGCCTTTAAATCAAGTCTGAATTTAAGAATAATTCTGTGCCATCTTAAATTGATCTTACAGGTTAAAACCCCGAAGGAATTTTGGCCTCTTGTCTCTAAACATGATCATGTCTTCTCAGTGCTCATTGGCCAGAGTCCATTAGGCCAAATAATTACAGCTTTCAATGATCAAAAGACAAATCTCAACTATAAGATGCCTGAAAGAATCTGACACAAATTACATTCTGCACCTCCAGAGGCTGACCTTTTTTATCCACGACTGAAGATTCCCTGCCATTGATAGGTTTCCAGATCCTTATTCATTTAGATTATCCGATGTTACTGCTTGCTGGTTCATACTATTTTCTTTCCTTGGTCCAGGCGTCTGATTGCATTTGTGATTCTCAGCTAAACAATGAAAAGATTTGCTCTTCATGACTGTTAATCCAATGATGGATAAGAGTCAATCGGAGACGAGAAATTTGAGCTTGGAAGTAACTTTGAGCCATTTTACTGGACAGTGCACAAAATCTTGCCCGGTCCCAAAAGGAAATTTATCATATTGCTTCTCCTCATATGCAAGGTGATTTGTCAGAAGAATCTGTCATTGAAGCCCTTGTGGTGAAGTAGGATGAAAGGTCCAGCAGACATCAACCATCCTTCCAACTGTAGCAACCATAGGATTTACAGTTATAGCTTCCAGCTGCTTCTTACCGTTCTTAAGGGAATGAAACAAATAGGATAGACCTGGACCTGTTACTGCTGATGGCCCCAAGCATCATGTGTATATTAAATGAAATCCGAATAGATGAGATTCTTCCCCCAGTAATTCTGATGTCTTTTCAAGGGATCTGAGACAATATCTGCTCTGAACACAAGTCAATAGTGCTTTAGGAGTTTATGTAAATGTTCTCTAAATGAAATGGTAACATAGGAAACCAGATGAAACTGTGTGTTGCATTTGTTGATAGGTTCAGGCAAGTTCTGGCTCTCTGTCTACTTTATAGTGAATAAATTAACTTTGAAAAAGTTGAACAGCCTGATGTAAATTCATCTATAAGCATGGCAAACACACATCCTAAGATGATAATAATAATAATAATAATCCTTGCATTTGATATAGCGCTTTTCACATCGGGAGGACGTCCCAAAGCGCTTCACAGAACCCACTGTAAAGTGAATTGACCGTATATTTGTGGGCGAACGCGGCAGCCAATTGCGCACAGCAATGTCCCACAAACAGTCATGGATTGAAAATGACCAATTTATTATTGTTTTGTTTTTTTTGGAGGGATTATTATTAGGCTGTGTGGAGTAAGGAAACGTGCCCAAGGTTTCGCCCTGCCTGGAATTGAACTCAGGTCTCTCGCTTGCAAAGCGAGTGCTCTAACCACTGAGCTACAGGACTCCTGATACTATAGGCAGTTTGTTCAATTTTAATTTTTACAGGGATTTTTACAACCCAAAAGGAGGAATAAATGAATCATTGTATTCCTTACTGTATTACAATCTCTGTGGGTTTCTGCCTTTAACTGATTCATGTTTTCTAAGTGGAGATTGTGTTATTGACATTGACACTTTACAGGAAATCTTCAAGTGTCCGTTAAGCTTTTGCTTTGTATCCTTGTGATTTTTTCCATCTTTTTATTTTCTTTCATAATTTTAATCTTAGTCTAGTTGGATTTACTCTCCCTGCTTTGGTATACCAGTACCTTTATTCTTAATCCAAGCACTAGCTTCCCTGCTGGATGCAAAGACAGCTTTTACTCTTTGCTTCGCACCCATGAGGCCCTTTCTTTTAGTAAGATGGGTAATGTGTGAAATATGAGGATACTAGTTAAGGTTGAGAAAACTGATGGACTGCATCAACAAGCTGGGGGAAAATACAATCTAGGGATATTTTGCCATCAGCTATGTGTCTATATCTTTACAACTAGCACCAAAGTATTACAACTGTAATATCTTTCTTTCCCAAAGCAATAAAAAATTTCTTCAAGCAATGCTCCAGAAAATAGCTGCTTGCAAGTAAAAGATGACATTATAGAGCATTCGGAAAATGTGTTTACAACAAAGCAATTGTTAATCATAAAGAGATTGATTTCTTGCATAATCCATGATCTGCATTATTCCACCAGCAAAATAAAGCAGGTTTTCTTGAAACAAGCTGCTTATAGAATGGCAACTGCGAAGAAATAATCAAAATAATTCACTTACCTCTCAATGTTATTTATTTATCCAATAGGGACAATATTTTCTGGTTAGCAGAAGATTGAATTCTTGCAAGAGCAGAGAAATTCTCATACCAGCATCTTAAAGGGACATCGGTATCAATCAGGCTGCGTGATATGAAGAACAGAAACCCCTTACTATATATTAATTTAACCAGTTTGTGTGTGGAGTATGGTGGTTGCCTAGTACCTGGCCCACTGTGATCTTTGTTAATCTATTAAATTGTAACAATTTGCAAAGTGTCATTTTCAAATCAGATTCACTAAATAGATGTGAAGCAGACATGCCATCAGAAACACACGGGTACTTTTATCTACTGAGACATGGAAGAGGCAACTTATGTCAGAAATGATTGTGGTAATAATCTATTTGCTGTCTGATAATAAAGAGTATGAAATTAGGTATGGCTATCACGAGAAACTATTGCACAGTTTTTCCTGCAGNCCTTCTTTAATTCTGCATCTCAATTTTATGATTTACATTATTCTCAGTTACAGATTATCAAGGTACATTTCATAAATCAGGAAGACAACACATTGTCCCTGTGATGTATAGTTCCAAACAATCACAGTGTAAATTATAACTAAATGATGACTTTGGATAATAAACCCAAGAAGAAATTGTATGATTAATCTGTTACCAATGATACTTTTTTAAAATTAATTTACTATATTGAGGCTCCAGTCGATATTGAAATTCTTCAATGTATTCCATGCAATATTTAAGATTCTTTAAATTTCAGCTCCTTTATAATAGAATTATAATAGTAGTGTCATTATTTTGGTGAGATGGACATCAGCTTGGTGGCCCCTTCAAGGATACTATGAAAGAACTAGGATTATTAAGATGCCATACCATTAAGCAATCGATAAAGATTTCAAATCGGACTAGTGCAGAGCCTCTGTGCCCGCTATAGCACGGATTAAGAATAAAAAAAGGTATAACTGAGATGTAAGATGCTTTTGAGGTAATTAAATGTTCCTTATGGAAGAATAAATTACCCTGTTTAACTAGCAACAGAGTCCCTCTTCTGCACTGTACCTCATGCTAAGTGTCTGCAGCAGATTGCAAAGTTGCCAAAAGGGCACGAGGATTCCTGTTCAGATATTCATTCATATAAACCCACATGGCATAAATATTAGGCATTGTGGTGTGTGTAATTATCTATGTTACTAGTAACAAGGGATGATACTAACAGGAAGAACTGGATTGGGGTTTGTCATTGTTCCAGTGTTTGGGGAAATATATTTGCATCAGTGCGTGGCTGAGGTGTATGCATTGTTGCTGTGACACCAAGCCGGACATACAGACCTGTATAATCCCTAGAGTCAGCACTTAACATGATATTCACTGCTTAAATTGTTAATGTGCGGAGGAAAGAACTCACTGTCCTGTAAGGTTCATTTTCCAAAATAGTTAAGAGAATCTTTGTCGGCAAAGTATCAGACAGGTGGCAAATGTAATAAAAGATGCCTAAATATTCATTTTAGCTTCTAGCTGAAGGAAATTAATGAAAAATATCTTTTTGACAAATGTTTGCTCCAAATAAAATTTCATTGTGGAGAGATTGCCATTCTAATGAGTTTCCTGTCTAGAAGTCACTGTTCCTTTTATTTGTTTTGCAGGATTTACCTTATTCTCTCAAATCTCCATGTAAGATTCTGTTGTTGCTCCATTACCTCCAAAAATCCATGTTTCACACCTGGATTAGAAGACATGAAGCTGTTACTAGGGTCACTTAATTACTTCAATATTGAAGTTGTCCATAATCGCAAATTCAGACAGTCGCACACATAACGTAACACAAAATTGGGGTCTCGCTTGCCTTTAAAATCTATCAAAAGTAGCTTTACCCACATTTTAACTGAGAGTAGAACATCTTTGTAAGCTCTCTTAGATCTAGTGATAAAACACCTCAGAAAGAAGCACTCACCAAACATCCAAATGAGGACAACTCTTACCAATAAAAAGATTTGGAAATGTAGGAACAAAGGTCAGATTTTGGAATTCGATGAATAGAAATGTAAAATAAAATGGCAAAATAGTGTAATGAAAATACTGGAGAATAAATTGTAAAGTCCCACATTGGTGAGAACTGACTTTTAAAAATAGCTCTACTTTGTAAATGTCAGTAATACTGAGCTCATTGTCACTTAATATCTGAGCAGCTTCTCACTGAAGCATTGATTTTAGTTTTACGGTAACTGTCTGAAGCAGTAATAAATTAATAGATAAAGGCCACCATACACTTCAGTCTGAGATATAGTGACTACAGGAATATTTAATTACGAGGAAAGCTTTGTTTAGAAATTAACTGGAGTGAGACTTGGAGAACAAATCATTAGATCTGCTACTTTTGATCAGGATTCAGTGAAATAACAATTACTAAAGAAATCAACCCAATCCCAGGCTTAGGCTAAAAGATGGGATGAGTTGCATTAGTAGAAGAGAGCTGATTTCTCCTCTCAGTCCAGCTTTGCCTCACACTTCCAACATGAATTCATATAATGCGTACACTTAAAAAATACTCTTGTCAAATAAAATCCCATTAGAGGAACATTTTTTGTGAAGAGACTGTTTCTATTGACTACAATTGTGATCCTTGACTAATGTGTAGGACCTTTTAAAGTTGCTATTTCAGACTAACATTATAAAATGAATATAGCATGAATTAATTAACATAGGAAGAAATCTTCTCGGTTATGTTACCCAGATTTTCTCACATTCTTGTTGACTAACTTGATAATATGATTGAATGGAGTGGAATGTGCATTCGGACAGTCACCATTTGCCTATCTACACTTGCAGTGTATTCAGCCTCAAAAAAAACAAAAAGGTAGATTCAAGCACATGCACATTTTCCTTCCCCTCAATCTTTTATTTGACACCAGAGGAAATTCAGGTTTTAAAAAGAGTAATTTGCATTTTGCAGGTTTCTTCACTTTTTTTTTAACTGCTCAAGTTAAGGACAAGGAGCCACATGAGGTTATCTGCGTAGTGGATGACACAAGGAGCAGCATGCAAAGACTAGCTCTGAGAAAATACCTGCGGGCTGTAGAAACACAGAAAGACGTGACTGAGAGAGTTTGGACCTTTCAGAGGCTGACAAAAATCGAAAATGGTCAGTGAAAGTAATGATGAGGTACGGGCTCTGTGGTATTTTTCAAGAAGTACAAATGCTGCTCAGCATTTCAGAGCTGTCAGTGAAATGGGACTTTTCTGACTTGATCGTTGCTATTTTAGTACCATTGCAGTGATCAAAATAGCGAGGTGAATATTTCTTTCTGTTCTTTTAATAGAACTTGAATAGCCACAATCTTACTTTGTTTAAAAAATATATCTCATCATTGTTATATCAAGTGTTTAGTTTCCTTTTTATTTCCATTGCAGTCATTAGCATATTACTAAACAGCAGAGAAAGGTATTGGGTGCTTTAAAGGTTTGGTGATTATTTCTCACTTCGGTGGCTATCCTACTTGACACACACCGTTTAGCTGAGATGTGTGGGGAAATATTTGTGAAAGTCTTTCTGTACTTTCCTCAAATTTATCCTTTGTGCCTTAGTTTCACTTTTCACTTTCAATAGTGGCCCTTGTTTTTAGCTTTGCTCAGTCAGATAATATCAATGGATATTTGTTGGAATGCTACTCTTCTCTGTGGCAAGCCAGCAGACGAGAACAAGTAAATGGGGATCATTTCCAGATTGTAGTCTAGGCAGAGACCCAAAGTACAGTTTCCATAGGATTTCAGCACAGTCTCTTTTCATGGTGTCGACAGCAACTTTCACCCTGGAAATAGAATGGTCTGGTACCAAGCTGATGTTTAATGGCATGGTGGAGTATTCTGTCACACTAGGACTAAGTCTGTGCTGAATTTACTGCAGATAAGTGTTATTTTCCATCTCTACTTATGTGTCCAGATATCACATCGTTATGTTTTCTACAATACAGCGACATTCTGATGAATTGCACTTCAGTAAAAATAAAAATATCTTTTTCAGGATTTTCAGGAAACTGTGTACTCTGTACTGCAAGGAAAAGAGACATCAGACCTGCTGGGTTTGAGCTTTTGATGTGAGCAGATGCAAGGTGATGAAATGCCACTTTAATCAGCAATAATTAGGCCTGGGTAAGAACATCGCTCAGCCTTCCTTTTCTGTTAATTAAACTGTTTCATAGCCAAAGGCAGTCAAAAATGAAAGATTCCCCTAGGAATGTAGCCAGGGGGAGCCTGTTATAAAAACCTAAATGCACTGCAGGTTTCTGAAATTACAAAGATGTTTCTGCTGCCAATTTAACACAAAGATGGTTCATCGTCTCTGGATATTTGTTCACCATGAATTTCTAGTGGAAAAATTGTTAGGGAAAATAGCTCAGATTAAGCAGGCTGAGCTAGTATTTCACCTTGGGTTCAACAGACTCTTGATAGGTAGAGCTCGCATTATGGTAGTTGCAGAGCTGCACTGTTAAGTGACAAACGTGATGTGTGATATGATGTAGCCCTGTACTAAAAGGTGCACGGTTAGATAGAACTCATCACATTAGAATTAACAGCCATTTTTTATGTGTGTCCAGCTGGACACTACCTGAAATAGCATTCAACACAGTTTAAAAGGCTGCATTCTGATGTTCCCTGAAGATTGCACAAGTAATAAATAATAAGAACTTCACTCAAAAATACACAGTCAATTCACTTTATACTATATCCTGTGAAGCAGTTGGAGCCATCTCAAAGACATGATAAAGTGTTACATCAAATGCAAAGGATTATTATTTTAGAAAAATCCTAGCATTTGATATAGCATTTTACCAAACTATTGACGCAACTGAAAGTGCTCCCCAGTAGTTACTGTAAAGTGCAGTTACTGTGTACTTATAGGCAAACATAGCAGCCAATTTGTGCACAGCAAGATCCCACAAACAGCCAGGAGATAAATTTATAAATTTTGAGTCTGAGGTATTGTTGGCAATAACACTGGGAAAAAATGCCTCTTCTTATTACTGTCTGCAATATTTTTTAAATTGGAAATTGCTTTTATTTATTAAGCAAGGAAGAAATCTATTGTCCTATGTAACTGTATGCCCTCTTTAAATTAATCTTTAGATTTTAATAATCTTTATTTTAAATATCCATTTTTATTTTTAGCCAATTCAGGTTATGAAGTGAAATTCCTAAACACCAATTGAAAATATTCAGTTGAAACTAAATTATATGGCTTTAAATTTCATTAATATAATGTATAAATCACATCTCAAGTGCTAGACAATACTGTATATCCAAACAATATACTAATTTATAGTAAAATAGTCAGGCAACCATTCAGTTAAAGGAATACTGGAGAAAGCATATTATAAATTAAACAAGATTTGCAAGTTAATTCAAAAGAGCCCTTTAAATTTCCCTGATGCGTATTTCCCCATTCTGCAAGTCGAAAATACTTTAGGATACTTCATAAAATATCAATAATTATAATAATACTTATGTTTGCTATATTGCCTTTCACATTGGAAAGATGTCTCCATGCACTTCAGAGGATATCCTATAAACTTTAATGACTGCACTGTGTTTCTAGGCAAACACGAAAACTTTGTCACTTAAAATGTAGTTTCCATAATCATGGTTATTAGCTATAAACCAAAATTAAAACAAACTATATGTGGAGTCCTGTAGCTCAGTGGTTAGAGCACTCGCTTTGCAAGTGAGAGACCTGAGTTCAATTCCAGGCAGGGCAAAACCTTGGGCAAGTTTCCTTACTCCACACGCCTAATAATAATCCCTCCAAAAACCAAAAACAATAATAAATTGGTCATTTTCAATCTACGATTGTTTGTGGGACATTGCTGTGCGCAATTGGCTGCCGCGTTCGCCCACAAATATACAGTCAATTCACTTTACAATGTGTTCTGTGAAGCGCTTTGGGACGTCCTCCCGACGTGAAAAGCGCTATATCAAATGCAAGGATTATTATTATTATTATTATATCCTACGGGCACTTCTGTATATCATGTTCAGACTTTGTGGCTTTGTGGCTCCACGAAGTGGCTTTGTGGAGTCCTGTAGCTCAATGGTTAGAGCACTCACTTTGCAAGTGAGAGACCTGAGTTCAATTCCAGGCAGGGCGAAACCTTGGGCAAGTTTCCTTACTCCACACAGAGCCTAATAATAATCCCTCCAAAAACAAAACAATAATAAATTGGTCATTTTCAATCTACGACTGTTTGTGGGACACTGCTGTGCGCAATTGGCTGCCGCGTTCGCCCACAAATATACAGTCAATTCTCTTTACAGTGTGTTCTGTGAAGCGCTTTGGGACGTCCTCCCGACGTGAAAAGCACTATATCAAATGCAAGGATTATTATTATTATTATTTAGATTTGTTGAGGTTGGACGTAATTAACAGTCAGTGTTACCAGCTCATCACTTGGCACAAATGGTGCTATTGACTCAGTGTTAATAAAGCATGCATCAAACTATTTAAAACAATCCATTATGTCTGACTATTTTTACTGGTAAAATCTCTATTTCCTGTATTACAGACTGATAATATTTCCTCACAGATTTGCTATTTCTCAGTTGTAATCGATGTTTACTAAAATCACACATATCATGTCATGGTTAATTATGTAGGAGACTTTGTTAAGTTGTATTTCATGATAAGAAAATTGACAGTTTTACCGTTAATAATTACTAACCAAACTCTAA